TTTTAATGTAGCATTCAACTGTCGCATTATCCTGAGGCCAATTGGGCGTAATAAGTGGTGGAGGCCTTGCTGTTTTCTCAACAACTTGTAAATTTCAGTATGACTGTACAGTTTGAGAAAAGATCTATGACTCTATTTCGATTTCACTTTGCTTTCACACACTTTATTGTCACACAAGAATGACGCTCACATTTTTGAGATGACTCAATTTCAGTACACGTTCTCGGCCATGCTCAAACAGAGCTGTGTCAACACAGGCAGTTTTATTTGTTCAACCAATAATCATCACATTTCCGCAAACACTCAACGAAAAAAGCGGCAAGACCGTGCCACAAGTCGCATGAAAATTTCATGGCCGCTTGTCATGTCCATTGCCATCACCATTGCCACTGGCAGAGCCACTGCAACAAATTCAAATACTCATAAACGACGAAAAATGACAGATTAACACAAATATTGATACAGCGACCGGCAAATCAACTCACACACAAACACATACATACAGGAGCACACACACACGTACCTACAAGGCAAAAGCGACCCAAGGGCCTGCCTAGCACTTAAGCCCAGTCAGATGCGTTGACTTTTGGCTGTCACGCGTGGCCGCAGGATATCCAACGGATAGCCCCCCTCTCAGCCGCTAAGGACGATGTTTTGTTGATGCTGCTCGCGTTCCTTGTGGTCCGCATTGTTTTGAATAATTTGCACTAAACATGAAATATTAATGAGCTTTTTTTTGTCTCTACGCCCTGCGGCCACTCTGCGTATACGTAATAAAATTGAATATGCAGCAAATGATGCACAGTACTTGACTCAAGTGGAGCAGATGGACCACAGATAATCACTTGAAAGCATTCAGCATCCAGCTGAGATTTCTATTGATTATGAACAGCATGTGCATTAATACACCGTTCCCAGAGGTATACAGAGAATATATGATTTCTCTGTCCGTCCATTTAATTTAACCCTAATAAAGATTACTTATATCATCCATAATTTGCAGAGCTTTACTGTCCACATTTGAGTTATAAGACGTCTGATGATCTTCCACAAGATAAGACACAACTTACATTTGCACGCCTACTTTCAGTCCCACAAATTAGATAATACTAATAGCAACTTGTATCTGCGGAGCAAGTTTATTTATTTAAAGGCAAGAAATATCTTTGAAGCCCACTTAATTCGACTTACTACACTGAAGACAGAGTATCTCGTTTTTGAGTACAATGCTCAGATCCTAACATTTAGTCGATGTATTTATATTATTTGCATTAACTATATGGCTTAGATTGATAATCAAATAAGTAAAAGCTGAACATTAAAACAAAGTTAAGCACTCTTCTTGAATAGCATTAAAAATATTGCAATGAAAATTCGCTGAGTGTGCAAAAAAATATATATATGAAGTATGAAAAGAGTGAAAATTTGCTTTTGTAGGGAATTGGATTCTACATAAATTTAACTTTTAATGCGCTGCGTACGCGAATGTGTAAAAGATTATCTTTATTGGCCATTAATTCATATTTAAGCTGGTGCGGCAAAAGAAAAAGGCGCCAGTTGCCGAGTAAATTTATTTTTCTTTATTTTCTGTACTTTTCCGTGTTTTTGGAAAACGTTTGTAAAACAGTGGACTTACGAAAGGATAAAATTATGCTTTGTAAAACAATTAAGTGGCATTATTTATGGCCGCTGACCCCACGCCCACTGCCGCCCGCTTACCCACTTACAGCCCTTGCCAAATGGTGCGTTAGTATATATAATTGCTGCCAGGGGTTGCGCCTCAAGAGTTTATTTATGAACCCTACTAATGGCCTGGCACTGGCTGGGCCTTGATCTATGGCTCTCGGCTTCATCTCAAAAAGTTGTAGTCGATGTCCGGGCCAATAGCTTTATAGGATATGTACATCCTTTGAGTTAATTCAGTTTCGTGTCATAGGTGCACTCCGTCGGGAGCTGAGTTGTTGTTTAAAAATATTTCTTAGTTAACTGCAATGCTATTTAGTTATTGGCGTACCGCACACATATTTTGTCCTGTTTTGTAAAAAAAATATGGCTCATCATGATGAACATGTTTCAATATTTAAAACACTCTGTACATTAGCTCAGTGCTGGCTTCCTGCTGGCACAGCTCGTGTTCGGAGGGAATAACCCCTTTAGCAAATTTACAAATTTCCGCAATAAACCAAATAACTTAAATAAACACAAACATTCACAGGCAAATGGCAAACGCCAAAATCAACTTCCAATCCCAATGCCAAAAAGAAAAGAGTAAGAAGCAGCGGCAAAAGAAACTGCTGACATATGCAGCATACTTTGTCGAGCTTGCCGGAATTGGCAATAGCTTTTGCTGTAGCTGCTCCAAATGGGTCGATGACTGCCCTCGAGTTCACAAGTTTGAAGTGCGCACAGCGACACACGCGAGCTTTCTGCTGTCGTTGCTGCCAATTTGGAGGCGCCTCAAGTGAGCAGCAGCTGGAAAAGTTTAAACACCTGACAATGGTGCAGGGGATTGCTTAAAGCATACCTGGGCAAATATATACTTAAACATGTACACATATGTACAATTTACATATAGGATACGTAGACGCCCGTTATATGCCGCCTAGAAGTAGCTGGCAGCTATGCTCCTGGATTTGGGAAACCATCTCAGTGCGTCAACTTTTTGCTACGCCAAATGCAAAAATTGCTCGCTGTGGTAATGAAATTTATTAGATCATTATACAGACTGCCTCCGTTCTGTGTTCACTACACCCCATTTCTGGCCAAATTTGTTGACGTTGATTATCATTTTCAAGTTCTGACTTTTCATTTTCAATTTGTGAGCCGGGCACGAAAAAAAATGTGTTGCCTGCTTTGTCTAAGACGCTCCTGGGCTGCGGATTTGCTCCTGTTTCGATGCCAGGACACACAGTTAGCTGGGCGTTGCTCTTGATGCTCGGCGCAATTTGTGGTCTTTTTTATGTGAGCTGTTGTTGTTGCTGTGTTGTCGTTGACTGTGGCATAATTTAACTTAATTTTTGGCACAAATTTGTAATTTGCATTAAGTTTATTGGTCTGGGTTTCCCCGCAGTCGCAGCCACAGCTCCAATATCTTTAACTTTTATAAACTCAGCATTTTCTATAGCCTACAACATGCACTGGATTTCAAAACTGAGACTTCATCAAGTCGCAGCACAGCTTGGCTAAGGATGTTTTTTCGTTGGACTAATATAGGAAATAAATCTATGCATAACTGAAACATATGCGACAATTCTCGAAAATGATGTGCGCAAAAGTGAAAGGCGAAGAAGCTCATAAAAAATCTGAAGTAAAAGTAAAAGTTGCATATGCGACAACTTTAAAATGAAATTGACAACACTGTCAAGTAGCTGCCCCGCCCCTATCTGTCTGTCAGTCTCTGTGCCCGGCTCCAAATTAGATGCGGGCCCCCGGAAGTACTGAGCCAACAACAAGAAGTTCGGCCGCGTGGGTGTTGAAAATTCCCGCGGGAATTTTCATGCCATGTTGCCTGAGAAATTCGCTTAATAACTTTCGCTGGTGCGTGCTCCAGCTCGACAAAGGAAGCGGATTTGGTGGTGGCCTAACCACCCTCCTGCCCACTCCCTTTCACTTTCTGCTGTGTACAGGTAGAGAACACGCATTGTGGCATTGGGACCCTAAAAACAGCAACCAGACAGTAATTTGTTTTAACAGCGCCTTTTAAAGATATTTACAGCCAGGTAGCTGCCGAGTCAGAGTCTCCCGCATCGGAACTGACTGCCGCCCACCTGCCGCCTCCTGATTGCTGCCTGCTGCCTGCTGCGGCCGACGACGCCATTTCATAAATTATCCGACACGCGGCGCTAATATGGCGCAACATCTCTGGCAAGAAGCACACGCCCCAGTCTTCCTCTTCGCCGCCGACTCCATCCCTGAATTTACCTGCCTTTGCGTTTGCTGTCCGGCTGTGTGAGTTTGTTCACACGTAACGTAGAGTCAGTCGCCCTTTTGGGCATTTTGAAGTTGGTTGTTGTTCTTTACAGCCCCAATGCGAGATTCTCTTCTTTTTTTTTTAACTGCTGTTAACGCTGTTGCGCTTGCTACACGTCGCCGTGGGCAGGTGATGGGGTATGTTTAGTGCCCACAACTTGTGCTTGTTGCGCCCCATTTGTGTAGCCTAGGGGCATTTATTGTTGACGACACTTGATAGAAAACAGCGAGTGGGGGTTGCCTAGGGTTAAGTTTATAGTAAGTAGATCTAATCATGTAATATTTTCATATTATTGATGAGTTCAAAATAGTTAAAGTGTATGATGATGGATTATTATAAGAGTATGTTGGCGAGTCTCTGTGAACATAATTGCATTTAATTTTATCTGTGGGACTAGCTGTTAATTAATAACTTACCTTATGACTCAAATACTTTTTAAAAAATCTTAGAAAACAGGTTAAATAGAGAAAATTCTTATGCAAAATAAGCCTACTTTGGTAATAACTTATCATATACACACAAATTAGGGTCACTTCAAATCGAATCGAATCACCTCAAAAGGAGTTCAATCAATAAGCCTTCAATAAGAATGATGAAAAGAAACTGATCAAGAGTTTTCAGGCTTAAGAGGATAACTAGTTTTATTTATTTTATTTGAAATCCACTTAGTTGTTGATAATATCCAACCCCTACGAAATACGCCATTTATCGCGTTTATTTCAACGATTATTAGCATTAAATTTATTTTCAATTTTGTCTGTCATTAAATAGTAATTTACGAGCTACAGCAACAGCAGAAACTCCCGCAGCGGCTGCACTCGCAACATTTTCGCCGAAGTTTTTCAATTTAAAGCGATTTGCTTTGTTGACCTGAACTTGAACTCGAACCTGAACCTGAGCCCGAGAGCTGTCTGTAGCCACACAGACTGCAACAGGAGGCACTTACTGCTGTTGCTGTGCGTGGCAGCACTTATTGGTCTCAACAATTGAATTTTCGCGGCAAAGCTCGCCGGAATGAAAAACGTTGACATTGATTATTTTAAAGCTGGAAAATTATCGCCTAAGTTTATTTTCCCTCTTCTCTATTTTTATTATTTTTTATTTTCTCTTACTGTTGTCAAATTATAAACGAATTTATTTTAGATTAATTGCGCGTAAAGTTGCAAACAACAAAAGCAACAAACAGCCGCTGCAAGTGGAACTAAGTCTTGAACCGCAAAGCTTGGGGGTAATTTAGGCGGGGCACTTTGATTACTTGGGTGGATTGGTGCGTGGCCGGGGGCGGGGTTTGCGGAGTTGAAGATGCTATGGTACAAGCGTGCAAATGCGGCCATTTTAAATGCGTTGTCTTCGCTTTGAGCATCAAATGGTATTATTTATTATTTTCCCGAGCATTCTCCCACCATCCACGCCGCCGCACCCTCTCCTGCTTGTTGTTTTTAGAGCAAAGGTTTCGTCTTCATTGCGGTCTGCGTGCTGTTTGTTGTCTTTTGTTTTATGTTGCGGAAAATAATCGGAAATTTTTCTTCTTACTTATATAATGTTAATAGTTATCTCTACGCGGCCTCCACTCTCAGTGACACATCTCACTCTTTCTTTCCCTCTTTCTCTCCTTCTCACTCACTTGCGTTGTCTCGCTTGCTGTGTGAATGTGTATCATTTGGATGGCTCGTTGGAAATTGTCATTATGCCGCAAAATGTTGCGCGTCTTCTTGTGGATTTTGCGCTTCAATCGTCCCTGCTTCGGCTAGCCATGGTCCCGCTTCAAGTCGCCGTCCTGTGCTTCGTCCTGCCTTGGGTATTTGTAATTTATGTAACTATTTCAGTTAATCGAGCGTAATTGATTTTATTTTGAGCTTTATTATAGCGCTTGGCGGTTGACATTTTTCTCGCTTTTATATTTTTTGTCCTCAACTTTGCTTCAAGTTTTGTTCAAATCGAAAAATATACTTGACTTTGACATTGCGTTCGCCTCTGTGTGTTTTGGGACTGTGGCTGATGATCTGAGCATTTTCAATGATTTATTTACAGCCTACATTGATTAACTAATGAACTAATTACCAAAACGTTAAGCGACGTAACATGATTAAGCAGATATGAAAGGTTTATTTTATAAATAAAACCTTATTAAAAAATTATATACCTTAATATTCATATGGATACTTAAATTGCATCATAATATTTTTGGTTCTTAATAAATTCAAGTTAAATCCACAGAGCTATTTTTTAAATTTATTTTCTTGAGTAAATTATGTTTTAGAACCCAATTTTGTATGCTTGTGACATTATTACTCAAGCCAAACAGAATCTATTTAATTTCCACAACTGCATATACGAACGGTCATCCCATTTCTGAATGTGTGCCGTTTGAAACTTTGGAAAACACTAATTGAACATAATTTGGGTAATTAATTCCAAATATATTCATTATAATTTCACATTTGATTGACCTTTAATTAAGCTGCCTCAGGGAAATGGTTAACATTGAAATTCGGCCTTTGTCAACAACTTCCGCTTGTTTGATGGCATCCAACAAAAACTGAGCATGCTTTTTGGGTCGCCGCTTAATATGCTTGACCCTTCACAGCGCTATGGCACTGTCACCCTCACATACGCCCACACTCGCGTGTGGTGGGTGCCCCGCTGTGCGTGTGTCTCTGTGCCAGTGAGTGCCTGCTGCTGTCACAGTGCGATAACGGTATTATGCACATTGACAACGGACCACACATACACACACACACACACATACACACGGGGGGCAACATCCGCAGGCGCCACACTAAAGCGCCTGCCAAAATGGCGGCCAGTCGGACAATTTCGTTCAACAAATAGGCAACAATACCCACCCATACCCACAGACACACATCCAGTGCTTGCCCGTCTCTTCCTTAATTGTTTTGTTTAAAAATTTTAATTTTTTACTGCCCACCTGCAAGCGGTTGAGTAACCACTCCCAGGCAATTGACTGCTAATTTTCTGTGTATGTGTATGTATGTGTGTGTGTGTGTGTGTGTGTGTTTGTGTGTGTGGACTTGTGTTTGTTTTTGCTGTGTTTTCAGTTGGCGCTTTTTACTCTCATGAATTGTATATAGATAATTAATTCAATGAGTGCTCGCATTGATGCAATTCCATTTCAATTTGAAAGGCTTTTCGAATATAATTGGCCAGCTCAATAGTTTAAAGATTTATTACTTCCACACACACACACCCACACACACACACACACACACAGTCTCATGCACGTACAGAAATGCAGTTGGAAATTCGATTTTGATGCAGCATAAACAAAAGAAAACCGCATGCATTTTTAGTTGGTTCTTTAAATTTCAAACTCAACATGTTGTATTTGGTTTGCAAACAATAGCAATGCGTTTTCCGCAGCACAGCTTCACGGCTCACACCCTACCCCCTTCTGACCCAGCGCCTTGACCAACCCAACCCCTCGACGAATAACATAACTCAAAATTTCCATTTGCATGCGCTTTGAATATGCAATTCCTATACGCATATTGATTTTCATAACCAAATAGAATCAGAGAGTGGATGTGGGTCTGTGGACATGGTAGCACGCGTTAACTTCACGTAAAGCTGTTGTTTTTTACGCCAGCGACTTTTATTAAAGTTAATTTACAAAGAAAACATGCAGCAAAAAACTGGACCAGCTTAAAAATACATTGTAAAAAAGGAGCAGTCAGTCCTTTAAAGCCCTCAAAAAAATGGCCACCAAAACAGAAATACATATATATGTGCATATGGTAGGGTTATATATAAGGTTTCTGTTTTGGTGCAGGCGAACAAAATGCTGCCAGCTGCATTCACAATTTGCGCGCTTGGGCAGCTGCATAAATATGGGCGTGGCCTACATAATACAGACAATATATCAAATGAACTTAAGCTAGTGGCATGTACCGAAGTCAAAGGGACTTTCAATAATTTTATTTAATTAATTTTTATTTTTTAAATTTAAAGATACAAATTGTAAATTCATTATAATGCATAGTTTTTTTAACGTGTTCTATGGTGCCTTAAGTGTATTATAAAATGTTTAATAAATGTTATGTTCTTCACACAAGGCCACTGGCTCAGGCATTGATAATACGCCCGATTTAACCATTACTTGGACAATAAATACATTTCGAACATGTTATACCCAAAAAGTAATCCCAAGCAGTATAAAAGGAGCACAAATTAGCAAAATCCAGCGAGTACAAAACTGGTACAAAACGGCGCCTAACAAATGAACCATAACCCATAACCACTTACAACATTTGAGGCAGCAACAATTTAGCTGGCATCCTGCGCCTAAGCCATTGCGTGCCGTTGTCCTTCAAAAACACCAGAGGCAGCAATCATTTATGCGGCGACTTAGCCACAAAGTCAGCCAATCAGTAAAGTCGCTCGCTCGCTCTTATTATGCTTAGAAGGGCAATCACCAAATCGTGTCTTAACATAATTTTCCGCATGCCCCGACGTCCGCCTTTTTGGCCTGGCCAGCACATGGACACAATACCATCGAGAAGTGCACAAAAAATTACATTTACGTGCTTCCAATGTGTAATTAAGGATTATTTTGTGCTCAAGTGGCAGCCGCTGCTCCAACCTGCTCGCCCCCCCCCCCCCCATTTGTTGTCTAGGCCCGGCAAATCAGTTCAAAAAGCTCAGCTGCGTGACTTCTTGGGTGGCCGAAAAGTCGAAGGGTTTTCGCTCTGCTTCTTGTTGTTGTCTCTATGAAAATTGACTAATGACTTTGCAGCTCAGAGATGCTTAAAGACTTTGCCAAGTTAATGCTTGCCTTTGCTGGATCACATTTAAAGGGATATTTAAAACTTCATAACATCTATATTAATGGAATATTACCAAGGTTTCAATTTTAATGTCTGTTAGGTTGAACTAATAATCAAAATAATTTGTTATTTTATGCATATACAAATGTTATTCACATTTTTAGGTATTTTTAAGTAACATTAGTATATTTAACTGCGATTGCTTGCCTTTCATCTCTGCAAATATTAATATACTTATTTTGTTTTATGTAAAATTAATAACGAATTTTCATGATTTGGTTCATAAACTCATATTGTTTGATGAAACACTCAAGGCGATAAGATCCAGTGGTATTTCTATATTAAATTTGTTGCAGACATTAGAAATATTCGAGCTAAATTCATTTATATTTGCAGTCCTCGGTTGATGACTAACGTAGCCATTCGGACTACTGACAACCTAGGGTCTGGACTTGTACATAAATATTGTATTGTCTTAGGCAATTATTGCAAGTGTAATTAATAATTATAATAATTATAAATATTTCGTAAAAATAAATAAAAATAAAAATATTATAATTAAACGATTGTTATTCGTGATTATTTACAGAGTAAGATGATTAGCTATATGTGTTTCGATATTTGTTGAGATTCATTTCAGCTATCTTAAACGTATTCCGTATATATTTAGCGCCCTGCTGCTGCTGAGCTGCTTGTGAGCTACTGTCTTCGGTAAGGACACGTTCTGCTGGCCAACTGAAGCACACATAAGCTGCGTCCTGGTGGCAAGCTGAGCAAATCCCACAGCAGCTCGATACCAGATGGTTGGATGGACATGAACGGATATCGATGGATGTGTGTGAACAATTTGCATTATTCACATGTTTAACATGCAAAACGCCGCTGGGACGAAGACTTCGACATACTTGTCAGGATATGCGAGGTATGTGTGGAGTGCATATATGTATATAAGAGAAATGAAATGCCTGCAAGTTGTGCGGCTCCTTTGAAATTTACAGCAAACTTCAATTGCCGTCTACAAATAGACCGCACTTGCGGAAGGGGCTAGGCAAGGGACAGGGCAGTATTACGCAAATTCATTTCAATCTAATCAAGTTGGTCAAACAAGTTTAAATTGATTTCGCAAAGCCACAAGGAGCTGCAAAAAAGGGACATTTTTAACGGACAATTAAAATTTACGCCGCAACGACAATGATAATGAGATTTTTAATAACCTCGTAAAGTGCACAGCCCCCCGCATAGTTCCCTGCAGCTGTCAAGCCAAACGCCAAACCCGGCAACCGGTTAAGCAGCGCACAATAGCACAAGGACTTTGGAGCGCGGTAACGTTTACAATAAGAAGAAAAAAATTCAGAACGACATGCGCGTCGTTCTCCGGCCAAAAGAAGTAGCCAAATAACCGCAAGCAACTCAACAATGTGCAATGTGAGGTGGATGCCTCGTTGGCTGCTTGATTTTTTACATTATGTGGCTTTCTGTTTTCTTTAGCTCCAGCATCAGCTGAACCCATAAACCGCCCCACATCTTGCCAAGAAACGGAAGCGCAAAAGCAACAGCAGAAACAATTAAAAGTTTCCGTTGCCACTTGCACTTCCTGACCATTTTGGCCACGCGCAGCTTCAAGCCACCCATGACGGCACAATCAGCTAAGTGTATACATATGTATGTGCATGTGTGTGTGGAATAAGAGAAGGGGATATGTTGTCTAATGGCCAGCAGAATGCTTAATTTATGCAACAACATGAGCTTATTAAAATAGCCATTTTTTTAAAGTTTGTTGTGTCCTCTTCTTAAAATTAAAAATTCTTCACATTTATGCTTTTATGAGCAAAGGTTGTGCATTGACTAAAATAGTAAAATTAGTGGCCAGTGAAAAGCTATCAAGTATTAAAAACATTTCTTGCTTTACTTACTGTAATCTATTCGAACTCTTTATTGTTTCTCGACCGAAATTCATAGACAAGGGCTTGGCTTAAATGTGTATGCCTCTCTTTATTTACTACTTGCTAATAAAGAAAGTAATAGAAGACGGTAATATAATATGAAGCAAGTTGATATATTATGTTGTCTAAATGAGAATCTGATATCAAATTCGACTACCTGAATATACAAATTTTCAGTCTTGGGCTAAGTAAATATTTATTTTTCTTAGTTTGCGAAAGAGAGTTGAAAAGAAAAGAGTTGAAAGAGTTGAACCAACCATTAA